CCTCTAAAATGAAAACTACATAATGCTAAAGAAAGAAATTAAAGAATATCTTGCAAGATGGAAAGATCAACCTTGTTTTTGGATAGGCAGAATTAATATTGTCAAAATGACAACACTACCAAAAGCATTATACAGATTTAATTGAATTCTATTCAAAATACCAATGACATTCATCATAGAAATAGAAAAAATAGTCATGAAATTCATCTGGAAAAATAAGAGAACCAGAATACCTAAAGCAATCCTTAGCAAGAAGAGTGAAGCAGGTGGCATCACTATACCAGAACTTAAACTATACTATAGAACACTAGTTACAAAAACAGAATGGTATTGGCACCAAGAATAGTGTGCCATATCATTTAGAATATTTTGTTGAATTAAGAAATTTACTTAATATAAGTTTTCTTCAATTAATTCAAAACTGCCCCAGCTACATTAAAGAAGTTATGCTATATAAAATGCAATCTAAAAAGTAATTTCTTCTTTTCAAAATGCATAATTTCCCATTTGCAGTAGCTCAAGTAAATGAGTGTTTTGAAAATTGGAATAAGTATGCATACCTAAATGTGAGTCAAAGGAAGAAATTTTAGCTTGTGTTTTATGCATTGGTCCAAAGAAATTCTTTGTTTCTCGAAAAGAAATTTTATACACAACTGGACCATATCATGACCTAGTCATATTTGATTTTTTAAAAATCTTACTAAAATGAGAACTATGCCTATGATATATGTATAGCAAACTCTTAAATTTTCACATATTGCTTGAATAACAGTATAATCCAAGCCACCTGCTATCAATGGAGAGCAGGTGGCTTAGATTCATGCAGTATTTTAACATTGTGGTTTAAATTTCAATTTTAACAAACTGTTCTTCATGTAGTGAAAGTTTTGTACATGCTAATTCTGATGGGACTCACATCAGTAATAACAATATACATTTTTTTTGTAAGAATAGGTATTTCTAATTTATATCCAGCATAGTTAAAAAAGCCGATCCTACCATCATAAATTATATAGTGCTATTGTTAAATTGGTATTTTAAAATGTTTTTCTAATAATTACATACAAGTGGGATTGTGAATAGAATATTTATGTAACCTATCCCTAGACATATTGTAAGTGTATCATAGACTTCCAAGGATACTAATGATTTTAATACTTCTACTGGCTATGTAATGTGGTAATATTAACAATGAGGGAAAATAACTCACAGGAAAAATTTATGATCTTATGTAAAAATATACTTTACAAGTTCTGTATGATTTAGCATTATTGTAGAAGAATGAGCTTCTTAAATATTTTTTACTTTCAAAGGGTTAATGAGACCAGATAGAGTAATGAAGAACTAAAAATTAGTCATATATTCCTTTTACTATTGTTTAAAATGACATTATGTACAGAGTGACATTTAGCATGTTTTTTTTTTAATGCCAGCAACATACAAGCCTTTTACCATTCCCACTTCAAACATGTGGAGGAACATAATATTGTGAAATACTTCACAGTCTCAGAAGTTAAGATTGTTTCTTCTTAAAAATAGCAGAATATAATAGAATTAGTGAAAATGGTGATAACTCTTAACAGCTTGTTCATTTGAAAGGTTAACCTTAATTCCTCATTTCCACAACTTTATCTACCTAAGCCATGCTAAACTTAAACTTCAGTCCCACTGATGAACTTGCAGTTTCCCAAATACATGTAAAAGCCTTAGAAAATTTACACTTAACTGACACTTCACTGTACTAATCTGGACCCCAAGTCTTTTATTTTTTATCTTATGTTGACCCTCTGGTCTACCATTATCTTACCATCTTTCCTGTGAGATAACTGCTCTTAATAAATCATAGCATGCTCAACAATAACACAGTATATTTCAAAGAGAAGATACCTGATTAATGTTAAGAGACTGAATGACCCAATAAGCATAATATCTAATTTAATAAGAGTTAATTTTTCCTAATTTCTTAAGTAAGCTAAACAAATCTAGGTACATGCCATTTAACTTTGCAGAAGAGAATACTGAAAACAATTGGGAAAACCTGGTAAGGTAAACCTCCCAGGAACTAAGAAGATTTAGGGAAGATATTCACAAGTTCAAGGCCAGCCTGGGCAACTTAGTGAGATCCTGTCTCAAAATAACAAAAAGGGCTGGAGATGTTGCTCAGTGGTTGAGCACCCCTGTGTTCAAACCCCATTACTACAATAAATAAAAAAAAACAAGCAAACAAACAAATCATATTGAATACAGGAATTGTTAATCTTTTACCTCTGTTTTTTAAGGAGGGGGGAAGAGGGTGGGGAAAGAGAGAATGAAATATTTTTGTAGATGGACAAACACAATGCCTTTATTTTTATGTGGTGCTAAGAATCGAACCTGGGTCCTGCCAGTGCTAAGGGAGCACTCTACCACTGAGCCACAATCCCAGCCCATACTTTATTTTTTATTATTATTTTTTTAAGTTTAGGGATTTTTTTTATTGGTTGTTCACAACATTACAAAGCTCTTGACACATCAAATTTTATACATTAGATTGAAGTGGGCCCATACTTTATTTCTTGATTCCAACAGTTTTACTGCTGACTCTTCTTATATTTCCAAACATCTATTCTGATTCCATCTAATTGAAAAATAAGAGGGAAAGCATCCCAATTTACTTCACTAATGTAAAAACTTTTACTTTTAAGCTGATATACAGACACAATAAATGAGTAAACAAAGTAATTTGCAAACTCATAAACTATTCAAACCACCTATTAAAAGTAATATTTGAAAAATAAGGAAAAGAAAGGGAAAATGAAGAAGGGAGAGAGGAAGTAAGATGGTGTAATTTATTATCACATAAACAAAAATACCAAGATGATATACACACATACTGAAGGTCATGGCCAACCACTAGGGCATTGGAATGTTCTAAATAACTATGATATGAAGTGATAGGAATGTTTGTTCCACTGGGGAAAAAAAAGTATAGCCTTCATAGGAAGCTGCAGTTAAGAGCTGGTCAGCAGGTAATGTTCCATAGTTGGAAGGAGTGTACACTGGAAAAGTCTCAGAGGAAGGAGGCTGTAATGATGGAAAGAGCTAAAGCTGTACAGAATACTAATTCCTGGGCAGTGTGAGCTTTCAGGGGCTATGGACATAAAAGTAGGAGGCTCCTAGGAAAATTAAACCCAGGGAAATTACTCAAATTTTAATTTATTTTCATATTTACCTTCCCATAATAGGCCTGCTTTTAGTAGTTTGGCTGCAAGTGCCTTTTTATTGCCTGAGATCCATTTTGGAATAGTGAGAAAAAGTGAATTAAAAGACAAAAAGGTCTGCCTTTGGTTGGAGGAATAGTATGAGGTCTAGACAAATTCAGATTAGGAGCATAGCCCAGCTTTACTACCTGCCAGTTTTGTGAACTTGAGAAAATGCAAGTTCATCATCTGCCAATTTAAATTGGTAAGCCCTATTTTGTAGAAGTGTTTGAACTACACATAGAATACATGGCAAGATTACTTGAAAGTATTGCCCAATATTTAAAGGATAGCATCTCTTTGTATCCCAGATGAAACCACCCACCACATTATGAACATTTTTAAAAAATCCAGATGTCAGAGAATATGGGATACTCCTATAGAAAGGAGACTGAATAAGCCAAAAAATCTCCCTAGTAAGTAAAATTGTAAATTTGTCCTGTGAGAGCACTTATTTTAGTGTAAGGTTGTCTCCTCCAACTGTTTGTAACTTAGGCTCCTAGAATTAGTATCAAGGAACAAGTACTTCCCTCCCAAGTGCCAATATAAACCATTTCTATTTACATTTATTATACTCTTAGCAAAATTTATCCCTCACTTAAAATTTGTTAAACTACACTCAAAATAACCTAATTAAAATGGCCTTTTAATACAATAGGATCTAGCTCTTCCAGTACAAGGCAAAAGGTGCCAACATAGTGGCTCCTGTACATCTTACCTCAAGGAATTATTACCCTTATTTCTCAGAAATTCTTAAAGAGAAAATGTGCATACCCAGTTCACAAACTGTGTTCATCAGCACTGAAAACAGTTCAGGGAGTTTCTTGCTTGCTTAGGTGAATATTTGACTCTTGTTTACCCACAATCCCAAAGCAAATTATTGGGCAATTTTATATTATAGACTGAATGTTTTTGTGCCAATGCCTGTCCAAATTCTTATACTAAAACATCAATTTCCAATGCAATAATATTTGAAGGTAGTGCTTTGGTAAAATAATTAAGTTTAGATGATATTATGAGGGTGGGCACCTATGTTGGGATTATTGTCCTTATAACAAGAGGGAAAGAGACTAGGTTTCTCTCTCTCTTCTATGTGAGGCCACAGCGAGATAGTGGCTGCTTTCAAGCCAGGAAGTGTACCATTACCAGGATCCAAATAGGCTGGCACCTTGAATTTAGAGCTCCCAGGCTCAAGAATTGAGGGAAGTATGTGTGTTTTGTTTAAGTTTCAAGTCTATAGTATTTTGTTATGGCAGCCCAAGCAGTTACAGGACTTTGCCTCTTAACTTTGAGGTATACCATCTGAGAGCATGGAATTTACTCACCACTTTCACAGCTTCAACTAACCTAACACCCATCTTAAATAAAATTTATATCCCACTGAGGACTCACAGTTTCCTAAAGCCCCAAACTGCCTTGCTCATGAAATTTCCACTTAATTGCTCTCATAAGGAATACTTTCATCCACACTCATTCTTTTTACTTTACCTCTAAGTTATATAGGGCAGTTCAGCAACTTTCTTGTATGATTACAGCTTGTAGGCTCAAAAAAAATTCTACAAGTAGAGGCTGAGTCTGCTTCATTTCAGTATCCCATTCTACCACAGAGACTTCCAAACAGCATATGTTCAATTAATTTTGGTGAATGAGTCAAGAAACACAGCCTATTTTTTAAAGATTTAATTTCTTCTACATTTTTGAATAAGCCAAGGAAAGTTTAGAACATTTAACTCCATAAAACAAAAGACAAAAACAATTAGACAACACCAAGATTGATGAGGTTTTAATTTTTTTTTTTCCTGAAGTCTGTTAGCCCACTTATATTTTCAAGAAAACCCCTATTGTGATGTCATATTTTATTATCTGGATGATGAAAATGACTCAAACTTCAACAGGTGTGAGAGAAGCTGCTGGACATGAGGCCTTGGGAACTTCACTAGCTTTGGCAGTAGTTTCAGGCTTGGTTGCATCCGTGGTTTGGGATCTTTCTTTCTCATCTTTCAAAGCCTCTTCATAAAGAGTTGGGAAGAAACTAGGAGCGGTCTCATTAATCTTAGCCAAAAACTCCAAGACTTGCATCTTGCTGGTTTCAGCATGAGCTCGGGGACCCCACAGGAATTCATGGCGTGGAGGATCACTGTTGACCACCTGCCGGTATACCAGGTATTTTAGCCTCACCAAATCTTTGGTGATGAGCTTCTTGGGCTCTCCATAGATGAAATGCTTCTTCCCAGGATATACATGCATCATCTTCAGGAATCTCCAGATGTCTTCCTCAGAGGCGCAGTCACCCTTCATGAAGATCATACCCAGGACATTCATCAGGAGACCGGCCTTGGGTAATCCCCTCCCAGCACGAATCCTCCCATTGTTGGGGAGTTTCAGCTTGCTGACAAGGTTGTATGAGTGATTGGTTGAGTCAACTTCCCTCACATCAACTGCAAAGACATCTGCAAGATGCTCACAGGCTCTCTTGAAGATTTCAGCAAACTCATTTTTGTACTTCTGGTTGACAACTTTCAGCATATCTTCCTTAGTAATACGCTGCTTCATTTCATACTTGTAGAGGAGGAACTGCTCCAACAACCCAACCTTTCCAGTTAGAGGATCTTCACAGGAATCATCAGTGGAGAGTGTGGCCTCAGAAGTGCTTTTCCCTTCCTCCTTTTGGCTATTAGAAACTTTATCAGATGTAGTGCAAGAAACACCTGCAGAAGTAGTGGTGGTAGATTGTGCTTTCTCAGGATCCTGGGGACTGCTCCGTGACTCAGTACCAGGTGGATTGTGGAGAGAAGAGAACCCTTCTGCTGTTGTTGCTGCTGCTGCTGCTGCTGCTGCTGCTTCTTCAAAATCCTCAAAATCCTGAGGATCACTTTGAGCCTGCTGGCGTTTCTCACGGGCAAGGAACTTATTCTTCAGACCTCGAGGCATGATGAATCAGATTAGGGACAATGGAAGGAGTATGGGCAGGATGAGTGGCGGTGCAAGCACCTGGAGGAGGGAAAATGAAATTGTAAGAGCACTTTCAGCAGGGATTTACCTCCCTGGCTGTAACTAAGGCCACTTCTGCAGGTTTCTGGGAGAGCATTGCTTTAGGAACCCACAATGCTCATAGTCTAATCAACCTGTCTCCTGGAAGGCACAGTGAGTCTTAGGCTATAGACTGTCCCTACCAAGGTGTATTGGAGTGGTAGTGGAGGCTCTGTTTTGAGGTGTGGGAAGTCATCCCATTCAACATCAACTGTTGGCAAGTCCTGGGCCTCTCTCTTTTGCTGCTCTCAAGTTGATACTTCAACCCCAAAAGCCAACATGCCCCTGAGACCCCAAAGGAAGAAGTAAAGGACATTCTCATCCTACATTCCTGTCAGAAGTTCCACAACTGAGAGTTACAAGGAGCCCTCTCTATCATGGCATGCTTGGGTATACAATTCTCATTTGGAGAATTTGCCTGATGTCCAGGTAGTGCCTGGTACATCTCCTTTCTTCTGACTGGTAGCTAACTCTTATACCAAATACCTTACCTCTCTTAAATTTGATACATAGTAGTGACAGCCTCAACCTGAGAGCCCTGTTCTGAGCCCTCTAGTGCTAAATACATTGGTGGGGATCTGATTCTTTGTTATCTATACAATGGCGAATGGTCTCTTCAACACTTCCTTTGACCTCTGAATCTTCCCTTTATGCCAAACTTTTCTCTTCCTGCTGGCATCTCCTAAGACTCCCTAGGAGGATATTGAGGGCAACCTCATCTGTGCATTGCCTCCCAAGGTGGAAAATAAGAGATGGATTATGTGGTATCTTCTTCTTGATCTTTCCCTCAGACATTAGGGTTCTCACCTTAACTCCTGGGAATATCTAGAAATCCTCCTACAGCGGACCTTACATCATGCCTTTATTAAAAAACATCTCTCAGCACTATTGTCCCCTACCCAATACCATGGGATATAATAAGTACCAGTTACATTGGTAGTGCACAAACATCACAGGCTGCCAGCAGGACCTGGGGTGCCTCAATTTCTTGCCTTGAAACCTGGCTATAACTGGGAAGCTTCCCTATGTTGACTCAAGGATCCACGACCCAGGTCTTCATATCGTCAAGAGACTCCCACGTCCTCGCCGAAATTTGCCTGATGCCCCTCATTTGGGCTTCCCAGACTTATGGTAGGGTCAGGCTCTGGGCCATGTCACTCTTCAGAGATTGGTGATTTCCTTAAAACTCACTGAAGGTTCTGCCCTTGATTCCCTGTTAAGCATGATACCCCTTTTGCTTACCGGAGCCACCTCTGGCTCCCTTAACACCCCCGCCCTATACCAAATAAGAAAGAATGCCTCCCATCTACCTGACTCCATGTTTGCGTCTTCTGGAAGACGCAGTCTCGGTCTCCAACTAAGTTTCTTCGCCTTTACTGATTTTAGGGTCCCCTTCCCCTACTCTACTAAACTAGGACTTCCCGCTTTTATTTTCTCTTGCCTTCCTGGGACCTTAGAGGTGGAAATAAACAAAAATCTCAGTTAGCCCGCTCTCCTCAGGCCTTCTCAAGACTTAGAATAAGAGTGAGGGGTTTTGGAGGAGGGGGAGGGGACACTTTTTCTGAGGTAATGATTCTCTCATTGTCAAACTCCTCACCTGGAAGCCGACCAGAGACTGGGACTTCGTTTTCCCTTTCGCTGATCTAGCTGCCTCAGATAAAGCCCTTTATTTTCCTCAGGCACCCTGGGAGGAAGTGAGAGCGATCACCAATGATAGGGCTAAGAGAGGCCGACAGCCAGGGCTGCGTCTCTAGCGCCCCCTGTGCTCTGGGGTGTAGGACTACCTCAGCCTCAAAGAGAATTCTAGATTTTACTGTGACTTCTGGGCCCCTCCCTCTGCCCTTCCCCCTTACTGCAATGCCCTCCCATTCATAAGTTCCGTCTTGCCGAAGTCAGCTTGAGTACAAGGCCTTGGCTCCCTAGATCTAAGAGCAAGCGAAGGGAAGACAATGAACTCCTATTTCTGAGGATGCCAGCTCAAAGAAAGTGAGAGAAAAGTCCCAGTCTCTGGTGATAGTTGAGGAGCTTGAATGAGAATGAAAGCAATACGTACTTCAGTTTATGTGTTCTCAGTCAGTATTTATCTGCAAATTCATCTTGGTGCCGTCTCTTTAATGAAAAGCTTTCTGCCAAATGCAACATTGCTGAAAATTCTTGAATAGTCTACCTACTTCAAATATTGAAGATCATAGGTCTGTGTCTCTGGAGTGATGTGAGATGGGGAAGCTGAAGAACAAGGTGGACAGGTTGGAATAGGAGGTTACTGCCACAGTAAATGTTGATTTATTCATTCTCTTCATCACACAGACTCAATCTTTCATGGTACTTCTGAGAGATTTAATTACTACATGAAAGAAGCTAGAGCTCGATAATTTGGTGAGATCCTAATCCTGAAGTTAATTAGACACTGCACATGTCGATGATCATATTGTTACCAATTCTTTGTGTTTATTCTAACATCTCATTTATTTTGATATTCTTATTGCTCTGGCTATGGATTATAATTCAGAACTTTGGGCAAAAAAATTCTCAATCATCTAAGATATATTTTGTAGTAGTGAGGAGAAAAAATATTAAATGTACACATGGTCAGCCTTAGCATGAGAGTAGTGGAATAGCCTGGGCTCTAGATGAATTCAGATCAGTGATCTATCCTGGTTCTATCACTTACTACCTTGAGATTATGAGAATATTGCTAGTTCTTTATCAGCCAGTTCAGTTTCCTAAGCCTTATGGATTGACTTTTTTTTGTCCTTCCAAAATTTATATGTTGAAACTCTAAACTCAATGTGACAGGAAGTGATTCCTTTGAGAAATAATTAGTTTTAAATGAAGTAATGAGGGTGGGGTCTCCATGATGGGATTAATAGCCTTATAAGAAAACCCAGAAAGCTTGTACTCCCTTTCTTTCCATCATGCAGGGATACACCAAGAAGGCAGATGTCTGCAAGAGAACCAGATATTCTTGAACCTTGATCTTGGGCTTTCTAGTCTCCAGGATATCAGGAAATGAATGTTTGTTATTCAAACCAACCATTTTCTGGTATTTTGTTATATAAACCTCCTAAGTAAAACCAGTTTTGTAGGATCATGGGAATATACATATTGGGCAGAAAGCCCTTGTCATAATGACTGACAAATATCCAGTGTTCAGTGATTGGCAGTTAGAATGATTTTTATCCAGATAATACCACTCTCCTTTAGGAATTTTTTAAAATCCAGGATATGTCAGATAAAATGAAATGCTATCAAAGAACCAAATCAGCTAAAAATCTATTTTAGGAAGTACAATTAGATTTTCCCTATGAGGGCATCTGCTATTTAATTTGAATGTGGGGGGTTCTTCCCACCTGCATGTATCTCAAAGTTCCTAGAATTTTGTCAAGGACCAACTCATTCAGTGCTTCCCAACTACACTTCCATCCAAACTTCCTCTATTCTTTATTCATTTCTTCCTCACAAAAATCTAGCTCGCTCTCAGAATTTGCAAAGTAATCCTCAATGTAACCTAAGTACAATGCTCTTTCAAAGAAGTGACATCTATTTATTTTAGCTGATGGCAAATTGACAATACAATGACTTCTGTACATCTCACCTCAAAGAAGTGTCACCTTTATTTTTCAGAATCTCCAGGAGTCAATATGCATAGAACACCTAGTTTATGCATTGTATTCTACTACATATAGATAAGGGCAAAAGTTTTATCCATATGGATTGAATTGTATACCCTCTCCTCCAAAGTTCATATGTTGAACTCCTAAACTCTAGTCCCTCACAGTGTGACTATATTTGAAGATAAGATCTTTGTAAGGGTAACTGAGTTAAAATGAAGCAGTTAGGGTACCCCATAATACAGTTAGGATGCCCTTATAAGAAATTATTATAACACACAAGAAGACACCAGACATGGACATACACCAAAGTTCCACCCTGTGCAGAGGCAGAAGGAAGATGAACTTCTACAAACCAAGTAGAGAGGCCTCAGAGGAAGCCAATCCTCTGGAACCTTGATCTTGAACTTGTAGCCTTTTGGACTATGAAAGAAAAATTCTGCTTTTTAAGCTATTAGCTTATGGTCATTTTTTTAATGGTAGCCCTAAAACTCTAAAACACTGCCTTTAAGTAGATACTTCTTTGGAATGTATATTATCTGTGATCCCAATGTTACTCTTGAAAGTGTGCTTTAATGGCCTAATAATTATTCCATTTGTGATGGAGGAATTCCTCCAGTGTATTAATGTTGTATGCAAACACACAACCCTGGACACTGCACAGATGACTCCTTCCTGAGGGAGGAAGACACTATATCCTGCACAAGACCACATGGGAGTTGCACTCAGAAACAGAGTAAATAAGTAGAAGACAGGATTTGTAGATTAAGAAGAAGAGGTGATTTTTTTTGTTTGAATAAGTCCAAAAGCTTCTGTATCTAATCTTCTTAATAAAGATACTTGTTTGGCAAGGGTATCTTATCTATAGTACATATTGAGGAACTTGCAGTTAGGTCATTTGAGGCCCTGCTGGTTTCATGAAATTTCAAGGCAATACATAATATTGGATCTTATATTATAGGCCTTACACTATAGTTTTCCATTCAAGGGCCTTCTTTTTAAACTTTGTGACAGAGTTTCTAAGGGTATGGCCTCTGTTCACCAACCCCACAGCCACATAGAGATCACCATGAAGCTTAATTTTAAAGTTGCAATTACATTGACTTGAAGTTTCCTGACATTCAAATTACCTTGCCACAGGCAATTTATTCTCCTTTTCATTCATTCTTTCTACTTTCCTATGAGTCATATAGGGTATCTCAACATTTTCCTCATATGAGTGTAGCTCCCAGTTTCTAAAATTATGGGTAGAATCTATATCTGAGCAATTCTTGTATGATCACAGAACCTCTCAAGGAAGAGATAATCAACTGATGTTTTGGGAATAAGAAGAGTGAGCAAGAAGTCTGACTTATACCCTATTATTAATAAGCTAACCATATCAAGGTATAAACCATTCAATTACATAATAAAGACTAAAAGAAATGAGGGAATTCAAGACTGATCATATTTTTTTTTACTATTCTATTTTCTCAACTGCTTTATTATTGTTTTTTTCATATTTCCAAGAAAACTTTTATTGCGGTGTCATGTTTTCTTATAAGGATAAAAGGTCTCAGACTAAAATAGGTATAAGAGAGGCTGTTGGATATAGTCATGTGTTTTAGTCAGCTTTTTCACTCCTGTGACCAAGAAACCTGACAAGGAAAATTAGAAGAGGTTTCAGAGGTCTCAGTCCATAGAAGCCCAGCTTCCTTGGGGCTTGAGGTGAAATAGAACATCATGGACAATGAATGTGGTGGAGGGAAACAGCTCAGGACATGGAACCAGGAAGGGGGAGAGAGAGAGAGAGAGAGAGAGAGAGAGAGAGAGAGAGAGAGAGAGAGAGAAACACTGACTCTACTCACAGGATATAAAATATATACCCCAAAGACATATCCCAATGACCCACCTCTTCCAGCTACACCCTATCTGACTTCAATTATCACTCACCTAATGCCTATTCAGGGGATTAATTCACTGAATGGGTTAAGATTATTATAACCCAATCATTCCCCCTCTAAAACTTATTGCATTGTCTCACACATGAACTTTTTTTGCAGGGGGAACACCTCATATTTAATCAAAACACCATAGAACATACCTGGCTTTGGCAGTAGTGTCAAGACTGGCTGAAATTCTCTCTTGTGATCTCTCTTCATCTTTCAAAGCTTTTTCATATAATGTTGAGAAAGTGGGAGGAACAATACTGTTGACCTTTCCAAAAATTCTAGAACTTTCATCTTGCTGGCTTCAGTGTAGGCTCTTGGACCTCACAGGAATTCATAGTGGGGAGAATTATTGTTGATTACCTGCTGGTACACCAGGAATTTAGCCTTAACAAATCTTTGGTGATGAGTTTCCTAGGCTCTTCATAGATGAAGTCCTTCCTCCCCAATGTATACTCACAACATCTTCAGGATTTTCCAGGAAAGTCATTAGGAGACCAGTTGTGGGTTACCCCATGCCAGCATGAATTCTCCTATTGTTGGGGAGTTTCAATTTGCTGACAAGGTCATATAAGTTACTGTTTGACTCAACTTCTACATCAACTACAAAAACAACCTCAATATGATTGGAGACTCTCTTGAGGATCTCAGCAAACTGGTCTTGGTACTTCTGGTCAACAATGTTCAACATGTCTTCATTGGTAACGGGCTGTTTTATTTTATACTTTATATACTTTCATTTTACAATTAACAAATTCACCTTCATAGCTAGAGAATCAGGCATGATGAGTCTCACTGGAAGTTGAGATCTCTGAGGAACTTGAATATTCCTCATCTTGGCTGTTATCACCCTCATCATATCTTGTGCCTAAAAACATCTGCAGAAATAGTGGTAACATCTAAAATGCTACAAAGCCTCTGGGGAATGCTACTTGACTCAGAAGCAGATGAGCTCTGGGGAATATCCTCAAGAACAGGAGAAGAAAAGGGAGAGGCTCTTCCTCCACTGTTGTGTTGACTTATGCTCCTCTGTGACCATGGGAGTCATCTCAGGCCTGTCAGCATTTCTCGTGGTTGGGGAATATACTCTTCTGACCCCAAGGATGTTGGCTGTGCTCAGAGACAGTAGGCAGGAGTGTGTGTAAGAGAACAGCTTATGAGGAAACCCTGGGGAGGGAGATGAAGAAGCTGTGTGCACCTTCAGGATGGAAATTCCATTATGGCTAGAAGGAAGACTGAATTTGCAGTTTTGCTTTTTTTTTTTTTAATTTATAGGTTTCTATTTGTTCTTTTTAGTTATACTTGTCAGTAGTATTTTGGCAGATTATACATGCATGGAGTATAAATTATTCTATTTAGGATCCCACTCTTGTGGTTGTACATGATATGGAGTTATCCTGGTCAAGTATTCAAATATAAGGCTAGGAAAGTTATGACCAAGTAATTCTGTCCTTCCTATTCCCTTCATCCTCTGTTCTATATTAATCCAATGGATTTCTGTTATTTCCCTCCCAAACCTCCATTATTTGGGTTTAACATCCCCAAATCAGAGAGAACATTTGGCCTTTGATTTTTGGGGATTGGCTTATTTACTTAACATGATATTCTCCAGTTCCATCCATTTACCAGCAAATGCTATGATTCCATTCTTCTCTATGGCTGAGTAATATTCCATTGTGTATATTACCACATTTTGTTTACATTTAAAGTTTTCTGTGAGGAAATTGCTCTAGGAACTCACTGAACTCCATCTCTCCTGACCACTCTCTACTATTGGAAACCTGTAGAGGAAGAGGAAGATAGAGTGAGCCTTAGCCTGTAAGTTGAAGAGTCCTCTTATTCCACATTCACAACCATCATGTCAACTGGTAGTGGGCAATGGGAGCCATTCCCTCTGCTGCTCTGAAATTAACATTGCAAATCTACCTGGCATCCACAAGAAGGGAAGTTAAAGGACCATTCAACTTATTATTCCTGTTCAGGTGACCTCAGTATTGACAGATCAATGGGGAATTTTATGTTCTCACCTCTTTGTAGTCCTTAGTCTTCACCCAGTCTCCTCAAATTAGCACACATGACTTGAGACCCCCCACCTTTGTTTGAAGTGGCTACACCTTCAGACTATGGGTCTCACCTCTTGAAGGCCCGTCTTAAATAAATTATGGGAACTTCATCTTGACAACCCTGTCCTGGGTCTTAAAGGACTGAAAGCAGGGCAGGGCCAGATTCTTCACTGCCATTTTTATTTAATAATGTGTTATCCTCTTGTTTTGATGCTTGGCATGATGTAGAACATCTCCTTTTTTATCCTGAGGCATGTCCCCTCATTGTAAGGACAAAACTCCCCAAAACAGATGGATATGTGGGTCTTCTCAGCTTACCTTACCTGTCCTTGGTCTCTCGAGGCTAAGAGTAAGGAATGGATTTTCTGGTGCTTCAGCTATTATGGGATAATTGGTTCCTTTAATTCTCAGGGCATTCTCCGTGGCCTTTGGACAACTTGGAAATCCTCCCAATGCTGATCTTACTTGTGATCCCTGACCCTCTTGTGACACCATAGAAGTAAGTATATCACATTATATCAACAATGATCAGGTATGCCAGGGATGCCAGCAAGAGTGGGGCACTGTGCAGTCCTTTTGGTCCTGAGAATGAAGGATTGCCTGTGTCCTCACTGAGAATCCTCATCTTAACTCTTGGCAGGGACTGGGACTCCTTCTTTTGCTTATATAAGGGCCCTCCCTCTGACCAAGGACCTGAATCTCTTCTCTTAGAAGCCAACCTGATAGCCCTACCCAAAGCTTCTGGGAGTAATGGCAGGGGCAGGCTCTGTGCCATCTCTGACTTTTAGAATCTGTGATACCATCACTATCATGCTTCTGCACTTGATTCCTAGAAGGGCACAGGACACTCCTCTCCACTGTCCTAGGTTGCAAACCCTCAGACCAAGATTCTTATTCCCTAAGGCCTCAGTGAGAGAAGTTGAGGAATGCCACATAGGGCCCTGTTTGTGTCCTTCCAGGGATGATATAAAAATTTAGGATTCTTGTGGCTCTGTTTGGGGCAGGGTTATAACTTTGACATTTTGAAGGACCTCAGTTTCCCCTTTCTTTTTTATTAATTGATTTTAACTGATACAGAAAATAATATACATATATATATACATACATTAATAATCTTCAATATGATATTTTGATACATGCATACTTTGTATAATGTTTAGATTAAGTTAAACATACATGTCTCCTCACCATTTCTTTTTTTAAACTTTAAAAAAGATTTTTTTTAGTTGTAGATGGATACCTTTATTTTATTTACTTATTTATATATGGTGCTGAGTATTGAACCCAGTACCTCACACATGCTGGCAAGTGCTCTACCACTGAGTCACAGTCGTAGCCCCCTCACTTACCATTTATTTATGGTGAAAACATTAAAAATCCTTTCTTCTTTTTGAAATGTATAGTGCATAATTGTTATCTATAGTTACCTTCCTGGGCAATAGCACATCAGAACATCTTGCTCCTCTCTTAACTGTAACTTAGTACACATGGATCAACCTTCTCCCACCCCAAACCCCTCTTTCCAGCTTCTAGTAAATACCATTCTACTTTCAGCTTTGTGAGATCAGCTCTTTTAGATTAAACCTAGGAGTGAGATCATGTGATACATAAGTGAAAGAAGCCAGGCATAGACTCTTTTGATTCAGGTCATCCAAGTCAAACAAGGCTCTCATATCCCTGAGAACCCTAAACATTGATAGGATACTGAGAATAGGTAGACTAGTTTTTCTGTGACTCATTTTTATGGGGTATTTGTATCATCAGTTTTTATTCCTTAGAGTTTTCATATCAATTCTATTAACTTTATGGGAGGCTACCAGAAAAATGCCACATCAGTATAAACTCCTGATTATTTCCCCTCTGCAAACCTTGCAGAGAATAGGTTGTTTCCCAGGAGTGATGTGAGATGGAGAAGCACAAAGCAGAGAGCCAAGGGCAGGTGTTTTGCTGTCAGACACAAAACATGCTGATCTATACTTTATCATCAGCTAGACTTAGTTTCTTACGTAACTTCTTTCAAATATACACACATTCTCAGGGAAGGCCTGAGCCAGAAAATTTTGTGGTCTATTGACATTGACCTTGTGTATAATTATATTGTCAACCAAAATATTTTGAGGTTTATTGACATTGACTTTGTGTATAATTATATTGTTAACCAATCTCTTTCTTTATTCATACCTTGCATTTATATTGGTATTTTCAGTGCTTATTGCTTGGGCTATGTGTTCCAAAGCAGTATTTTGAGTTTGAAGTCTTGTTTTTTTTATCACCTGAAATAGATTTTGAAGTGATGAGCAGAAAATGAATAACCAGTACAAGGTCTGCCTCAGGCTTGGAGGAGTACATCAGTGTGGACCCTAGAGGAATACAGAGTCTGAGTCCAGCTCTGTCACTACCAATCATGTGAACCTGAGAAAATTCCAAGTTCTTTCTCTGCAAAGTTAACCTGATAAACTCTAACATGTAGGGTTCAGGAATATGAAATATGTGTGTGTGTGTGTGTGTGTGTGTGTGTGTGTGTACATATATATATTAGAATATGTTTGAGAATATGCAAGTTCAAATGACATAGACATGCACATCAGCTGAAAGGCTGTTGGGCAACTAAAACCAGTGTTTTCCCATTAGATCATCTGTTACTTAATTTTGTTGTCATATTCTGCTGTAGGCAATTTAAAGTTCCTAATTTGTGTTAAGGACCAACAACTTTCTTAAGAGGTGTTTTCCATCCAAATAACCTTTTTTCATCCCTTTCATTCCAAAAATTGAGCCCTCAGAGTTTGACAAATTACAGTCTAAGTAACATAACAAAAATTCTCTTAACTGGAGCAGAATCTGGTTCTATCAGCCCATGATAAGAGCATAGTTCAGTGTCTTCTTGGCTTTTCAAGGGGGTATCACCCATATTTCTTAGAAACTCCCTGAGTATCATATGTGAGTGCTTTATATATACCTGCACTAGGGAAAGCACAGATTCCTTCCGTTCCTGTACTGGCTGGATATCTTCTGGTTAACTTACAATTCCAAAGTAACTATTAAGATTTGTTTCCCATTCTAGACTTAGTTTCTCAACTCTGAGATGCCACATCTAATGGTCTGACCCTTGCTCACTAATAGCACATCTTCTCCCAGCCCACAATGAAGCCTCACTTAAATTAACTTGCATGAAGACACTTGCAATTCCCTAATGTTCAAAATTATATTGATGAAAAAATTTATAATTGGTTTTCATCTGAAATCTCATCTTCCTGATCACTTATTTCTACTTGTTCTTTATCACTTAGTAACTAACCATATTGCTTATAAAACAGCTGTTGCTATACTCTAGAAACTTCTGGGAAGTGGTTGTATCTTCGTTTTTTTGGTTCTGGGAATTGAACCCAGGGCTGCTTAATCACTGAGCCACATCCCCAGCCCTATTTTGTATTTTATTTACAGACAGGGTTTCACTGAGTTGCTTATGGCCTCGATAATTTGCTGAGATTAGCTTTGAACTCATGATCCTCCTGCCTCAGCCTCCTGAGCTGCTGGGATTTTAGGTGTGTGCCACTGTGCCTAGCTATATCTTCTTTATCTTACCATATTCAGGGCTAAGGGGGACTTCCAAAGAGAAGATGCTCAACTAATGCTAGGGAAAAATAATTAAAAACAATCAAAAGAGTGAGTTACAACTTTATTATCATTTAATTTCACATAAATTAGAATAAAGTAAGCAAATCCAAGATGTCACTTAATATTGCAAGCAAAAGACAAAAAAGATTATAGGCAACTATAAATTAACCATTTTTGTTTTGTCACACAATTTTGTGATGCCAACAATTTTCCAGTGTAATAGGAAAAAAACCTTTTTGAAAAAAAAATAAATCCAGGTCTTTTTAACTTATACTAAAATAACTATTACAAGGAATAAACCAAATCAAGAATTAAGCATCCTTTACATTTATCTTTTTACATTTTTTTCTCCATAATGTCATTCACAATTTTTAATGTAGGGTTCTTTTACATTTCCTTGAAAACCCTGATGCTGGTAACATGTTGACTAGTTCTGGATCATGAAGAAAACATGGTCTGTTAATTTTTTTTTTTTTTAGAACTACCTTCCAGACCCATTACACTGTAGTGAATGTGAGAGCCAGTTCACTGACAAGGTTATAAACAGAAGCACAATAAATCTTCAATTAAAAGGAACAACATTGCAAAATAAAAACCCAAATAAGATAGATTTCTACTTATGCATAATAGGAAAAGAAGACACCAACATTTTGCTTCCTCCAGCCCACTGCTCTCCATCCCACAAAAAGCTAACTCCTCTTCAAATATACAGTGAACACCCGACCTCAGACACAACTAGATGTGAGACGGTCTGTGGGGCAGGACCTTGGAAACAGCCCTAGGCCTGGTAGGTGCACCCACTCTACCCACAGCTTTCTCTCCTGCTTTCTCCTCCTCATCTTTCAAAGCCTCCTCATACAGATTAGGGAAGGCATTAGGGTTGGTATCATTAATCTTGGCCAAAACCTCCAGGACCTTCATTTTGCTGGTTTCTGCATGGGCTCTGGGACCCCAGAGGAATTCAAAGCTGGGAGGGTCACTACCAGGCACCTGGCGGTACTCCAGGTACTTTTCCTGCACTAAATCTTTGGTGATGAGCTTCCGGGGCTCCCCAAAGATCAAGTGCCTCCTCCCAGCATAGATCCCCAACACATTCAGGAATTCCCAGATCTCTGCCTCAGTGGCACGGTTGCCCTTCATGAAGATCACACCCAGGAGGGTCATCAGGAGACCGGTCTTGGGCAAGCCCCTACTGCCACTCAGACTTCCTTCACTGGAGAGCCCCAGCTTGCTGATAAGGACGTAGGAGTGACTGTTGGGATCCACTTCCTTCAACTCTAGGCCAAAGACCAGCTCCACACGTTCGGAGGTTCTCCTGAGGATCTCAGGGAAGTACTCCTTGTACTTCTTGTTGACCACCTTCAGCATATCTGCCTGTGTAATGGGCTCTTTTGTTTTATACTTCTCCAGCAAGTACTGCACCAACAGACTGGCCTTCCTGGTGAGAGGATCTCTGCGTGAGCTCTCAGGAGAGGCTGCTGCCTGGGAGCTGCCTGGCATTCTCTCCTGGGCACCTGCTTCAGAGCTTTTGCAGGAATCACCTGCACCAAGAGAGCTAGAGGGTGGGGCTCTCTGAGACACCTGGCTAATGCCAGCAGCAGGGGAGCTTGGAAGTGCACCCTCATCAAGAGGAGAGGAGCAGGGAGACCCCACTTCCTCCTCTGCAGTGGCCTGAGCACCCCTGAGGCCCTGGGTCTCATCGCGGGCCTGCTGGCGCTTGGCTCGGGAACGCAGCTTACTCTTCTGACCCCTAGGCATGACTGTTGTCAGGGACAGCAGGCAAGGAGTGTTGGCACAAGGGATGGAAAGGCTGGGACCTGGATTGGGGAGAATGGCGACAAGTGAGCAAGGTCATCAGAGAGAGAGCACCCTGGCCCCCTCTGCCGCTTTCCTGGAGGGGAGTGCTCTAGAGCAGTGGTGGGCTCACTCACTACTTCATTCAGAGGCACCCAGGACACCAGGAGACACCTGAGTCCCAAGCGTTAAGATGAGTGTGGTTTCCACAGTGATCAGAGTCCTCCTCTGGACCCTTCCTATGGCTGGGGAATCTCTCGCCCTCTTCTGACAGGCTGCCAGCCCTTTGGAGCAAAGCTCCCAGCTCGCTGAATCTCCGGAGGACAAAGAGACTGAGAAAACACACACACACACATACACACACACACACACACACACAC